TAGAGAGGGTCCTGTAACAAGGGGGAGGGTCCAATAACAAGGGGGAGGGTCCTATAACAAGGGGGAGGGTCCTATAACAAGGGGGAGGGTCTGCATTGTAGGGAAAGGGGCTGAACTGGGGGGAAGGGTTCTATGGAAGAACTCCAATACCATAATCTGATCTCCCCGGACCTCCAGGACTGGAATCTGATCTCCCCGGCTGTGTGTACACATCAGTATAAGGAGGTCAGAGCCGGCCCACGTCTCCTCTCACCTGCCGGACTCCCGGTGTAGTATGGTGACTCTCGGCTCTTCCCGCGGCTCCTCGGCCTTGTTCTTACAGATGACGGTGAAGCTGCTCAGAGAATGGGGGGGCCCTCATAATGGGCACAGGGATGGGGGGGCCCTCATAATGGGCACAGGGATGGGGGGGCCCTCATAATGGGCACAGGGATGGGGGGGCCCTCATAATGGGCACAGGGATGGGGGGGCCCTCATAATGGGCACAGGGATGGTGGGAGCTCCTCATAATGGGCACAGCGGGTGTACAGACCCGGGAACTCAGCACAGGGATGGCGGGACACACCCCCTTCCCAATCAGACACACCTCTCTCTGGCAAGACACACCCCCTATGATGGCTGTAATGAGGGGCGTGGCTGTCACTGAGCTCCGCCAGCACAGAGCACTGGCGTGGAGGACAGGAAGCAGCCATTGGACTTTATACGAAGAATCTGATTGGTTGGTAACTGTCCGCTCTGAAATCTCACCTTGCCCTTTGACCTCGCACCTCTCGGGGTCGATCCCTCCCCTCTGCACCGTCCCGTACACCTGGTAGCCCCGGCACAGCCCCGCCTCTTCCTGCGGATTGAATCGGACGCTGACGGGCTCCACCTGCTCCGCCCCGCTGCGGTCCCCGTGACTGAGGTCCCCGAGGCGGCCCAGCGCCAGGGCCTTGGCGCGCACGATGTGGAGGTCGGGCCCGCAGTGCAGGAGGCCCCGGGTGAAGGTGGCGGCAGTGCGGAGGTCTGAAAGCTGCTGGTGGGCCCGGGCCCTCTGCAGGTTCAGGGCCTGCTCCTTCCGACGCACTTCGTCGTCGAGGTCACGCAGGAGGCGGAGCTTGTGCTCCTGGATCGCCTGTATGTACCCCTCGGTGAAGAGCTCCACCTCCTTCCGCAGGGTATCCGCCCTCTGCCTCAGCTCCTCCCCCGCCCTGCGCACGGCGTGCAGCGTCTTCTCCAGGTCCTCCAGCTGCGGATCCGACTTCAGTAAGGCTCCTCGAAGCTGCTCCTTGTGCTTCACGGCCGCCTCCCCCACGGGGCCCAGCTCGTGGCCCCGGTGCCTGAGGAGCGCGCAGTCCCGGCACGAGGGAACCGCACAGGCCTCGCAGAACAAGCGCAGCTCCTCCAATGGGTGGAGAGAACAGTACGGGGGCGGAGAGAGGGAGGAGCCCGGAGGAAGATCCCTGAGGAGCTGCAAGCCATGAGCCGCCG